CCCCCAGTCTCTGGGGGCACGTGGCCTTCATGTTTTCCAGTTCACTGCTCAACTGAATATTGCAAATAAAATATTCCAGACTGATCATTTTTCTTTTGATTTAATTTTTTGCAAAATTGCAAAGTCCAAGAAAATTGGACAAAAGTTGAACAAAATATCCTGCCTGGCCAGCAATGAGCCAATATGCTTTGTTTGTAAGGGCTTCTAAAGTGTTTTTAAAACAGCTTTTTACAGAAAACCGATGTACATTTTGAAAGAAAATGTCCTTTGGATTTGAAAAATCAAAGCATATCAATTCCATGAAACGCTTTATAATTTGGGGGTTTTATAAAGGTTTGGTTTGCCCTGAAACAGTTCGCTGAAGGGCAAACAAATTTGCAAATTATCTTGGTTGACCAAAATCTGAATTTTGCACTGCGTAACATTTTGCCTGAAGTATTTTGTGGCCTTCTACAAAGCACAGGCCTTGAGGGAATTGCAGTCCTGCCCCTTCTTAGAGCCCATGGTGCAAAGTGTGCGAAGGTTTGACGGTTAACTCCTGTGCACATTGCCCCATTGCTGTCTTAGCAGCATGGCTCTTCCACCTGCCCCACCTGTGGGTTTCATAGCCAGTCCTTAAAGTTTGGTGTCTTACCTATTGGCCGTAACATTCATCCCCAGGAGGAGAAGACCCAGACATAGAACCACAAAGGAGAGGGCTAGGATGGAGTAATTCCATGTTGATGCTGCAAGAAGAAAAGCATGGACAAGTGAAGGCACATGCAAAGGCATGCTGGCAACTTTGTCGCAGCCAAATGTTTTGTGCAAAGATACGCCTATGAGGCAGCTTGGTGCACTCTGGCTCCAAGTGTAGAGGGGCCAGGAAAGAGCAGAGAGCTCATAAGATAGGCAGTGAGTACTGGGGTAACTCCTCTGCACATCTGCCACTAGCCAACGAGGTATGAGCAGACAAACATCCAACAAATACCATGTCTCTCAACGGGACTTACAATCTTCTCTCCGGAAAAACCACAGCAAATCGTTCAGCTGTTCTTGAGACAGAGACGCTGCAGGGGTGGTGTCGCCCTCCATCTCGCCTGTGTTTGCAAGAGCCATAGGGGTATATCTGCTTCTTTCTGTCTTTGCTGGGGGAAAAAAGCCAAGAAACATAGGAAGAGATACTGCACCTCTTGTTTTTGTTGCAAATACTCAAAAGAGAAGAGCCTTGCTACTGGTTCACAGGGTTGCCATGTTATTTCTTTAACATAGGGCCAGTCTTGAGGGGAGGCAAAATGGTGTTCTGTGGGCCTTAGTGAAGATGCGCGTGTGGAGTCTGAAGCTAAAAAGTTGATTCAAGATATCCAAGGTATGGGAATCTGCGAAAAAATGTTTGTGATGGCTCCTGTTTCCTGGTTTTTGGAAGGGATCCCTAATTTAAGTGCAAATCCTATACCTATGAAGGTCTCTGGCTCTCTTGTCCCTGATATCAGTGCAATGGGGTCTAGCTCTTTTATACTTAGAGCTTCCTTTTCCTAAAAGTACCAGGTAATCTGAAGTGAGCCACTACCATATCTATAGAGAATTCCATGTTAAATGTTTGTTCTGGGTTCCCCATTGCACTCCTGGCCTTTATCAAGAAGCGTGATTAGTGCATCTCTGGACCGTGGCATCCAGGGTCCCCAACCTGTCTGCCTGCTAGAGAAATACTGTGATTGTCTGCTGAAAGACTTCAATCCGGCATATCACACACAAAAAGACGTACGTGAAGTCATGGTGTATTTGCATTCATGTTACACAAGCATAATAAGTGGCTCGCCTTTTTTGGTGCCCGATGCTTACCTGGTCTCTCATCACATACACTCCGCTCCCTTCTGGCTCGCCACTGGGAGTTTGGGCTTTGTGTATCAGTGAGAACAGCTTTTTTCTTTTTTACTGCCAGGTATTTCTGGATTCCCATAGGTTGAAGCCAGAAATTAAAACAGTCCCAGTTTACAAGTGCTGCACTGTCACAGAGACTCGTCTGTACTCTGTTGACCTCAGCCACAGATAGACATTTCCTTGTGCCACGATTGACTAAGGAATTGTCTTGCCAAAACCAGTGTTGGGACTTTGAAGTAGAATTACAGTCCTCTAACAGTAAGTTCTCATCTGTTGTACTTGCTTGTAGACACAGGTTGACTTGAGTATTTTTAATCAGAAAACCATCTGTGCCTGTAGAGAAAGCAGAGCAGTAGCAGTCATCCTGGAAGCATGGCATATGTAGCTACCGACAAAGCACTGTTCAGATCATGATCAAAGCCCTGGGTTTAAGGAAAATCCCATGGAATCCTTTGCAGAAACCATGCAAGTAACTCAGGGTTTCTCTCTTGGAAGAATTGAGTCATCAAGTCTGCCAGGATTTTACCCAATTCTTGGCAATCCCTTATGAGCTGCTGTTCTCCATTGCAGGAAAAGAATCTCTGCATCCCTGTGCATGTCTCCAGGCTGTAATTTTGCTACTTGGACTAGGAGCTGTGCCTGGGATCTGTCTCCCTCCCTTTCAGTATAATTGTGGAGGGATCATTAACTTTGGCTACAAGACATATATTGTTTCACTATCTAATCTTGGATAATTCAATCCAAACATGCCTCTGTTAATGGCAGATCCTTTTTTAAATACATAGGGGGTAAAAAGACAGTACTAAGTAATGTGGGGCCTCTGCAGGACATGCTTGGTAATCTGGTGGTAGCACCAGAGACAAAGCTAATCTCTTTAACAAATTCTTTGCTTCCAGTTTTTTGAGCAGGGGGCATCCCCCTACCGGGATCCCAGATGGACCCAGGAGAGGCGCGCACAGGCCCAGGGTCAGTGAGGACCTCATCAGGGAACGTCTGGAGGGACTGGATGTGTTCAAATCAGCTGGTCCTGATGATCTCCAACCCAGAGTGCTGAGGGAATTAGCAGAGGTCATTGCGGGACCCCGGCACGGCTGTACGAGCACTCATGGTGCTCTGGTGTGGTGCCAGAGGACTGGAAAAGGGCCAATGTGGTTCCCATTTTCAAAAAAGGGAGGAAGGAGGACCCAGGAAACTACAGGCCAGTTAGTCTTACCTCGATCCTGGGGAAGCTCCTTGAAAAAATTATCCAGGAGCCCATCTGCGAGGGGCCAGCAGGGGAGATTATGTTTAGAGGCAACCAACATGGGTTCATTAGAGGCAGGTCCTGTCAGACCAACCTGGTGGTCTTCTACAACCAGGTCACAAAATCCTTGGACGCAGGTGTCATGGTGGACATAGTGTTTTTGGACTTTAGGAAGGCCTTTGACACGGTCTCTCACCCCATCCTCATTAAAAAATTAGGCGACTGTGGTGTCAACGCCTACACAGTCAGATGGGTCGCCAATTGGCTGGAGGGCTGCACCCAGAGAGTGGTGGTGGATGGGTCTTATTCAACCTGGAGGGACATTGGCAGTGGGGTCCCCCAGGGCTCGGTCCTCGGACCTGCACTGCTCAACACCTTCATCAACGACTTGGACGAGGGGGTGAAAAGTACCTTGTTCAAGTTTGCAGATGACACCAAGATTTGGGGCAAGGTGGGCACGCTAGAAGGGAGGAATAGGCTACAACTAGTCCTAGGCAGGTTACAGGGGTGGGCAGATGAGAACAGGATGGGTTTCAACACTGACAAGTGCAAGGTGCTGCACCTGGGGGGATAGACCCAGCAGCATACCTACAGGCTGGGGAACTCCTTTCTCACCAGTGCAGAGGCAGAAAAGGATCTTGGGGTCATTATTGATGCCAAAATGAACATGGGCCGACAGTGTGGGGACGCGGTCAGGAAGGCCAACCACACCTTGTCATGTATCCACAGATGTATCTCGAGCAGGTCCAAGGAGGTGATCCTCCCCCTCTATGTGACACTGGTCAGGCCGCAGTTGGAGTAGTGTGTCCAGTTCTGGGCACTGCACTTCAAGAGGGATGTGGACAGCATGGAGAGGGTCCAGAGGAGGCCACTCACATGATCCGGGTCAGCAGAGCAGGCCCTATGAGGAGAGGCTATGGGACCTGAACCTGTTCAGCCTCCACAAGAGAAGGCTGAGAGAGGACCTGGTGGCCATCTACAAACTTGCCAAGGGAGACCAGCAGGCCATGGGGGAGTCCCTGTTCCCCTGAGCGCTATCGGGGTAACAAGGAACAATGGTCATAAGTTGATCGAGAGTAGATTCAGGCTAGACATCAGGAGGCGCTACTTCACAGTCAGGGCAGCTAGGATCTGGAACCAACTTCCAAGGGCAGTGGTGCTGGCTCCTACCCTGGGGGTCTTCAAAAGGAGGCTAGACAGCCACCTAGCCAGGGTCGTTTGACCCCACCATCCCATCCTGCCCATGGCCAGGGGTCAGACTTGATGATCTGCTTAGGTCCCTTCCGATCCTACCTACTATGAAACTATGAAAGGCCCCTAATATAAGTTTGGACTGTTACAGAGAATGATAGCAGGTCAAATTTTGCCTTTAGTGTCACTCATGTACCAGTCACAGTATCAGTGGGACTGCAGCCGTGCAACGGAGAAGAACTTGCAACTAACTTTCACTGAAGCTGCTCCAAATTTATGCCTATATGTAGGAAAGAACTGACCCACATGTTAGAAAATACAGAGCCAGATTATCAAAAAGACAGAGGTCCACTTGTACTTTTAGACATGTGGCCTTGATAGCACACCTGTGGCATGCTCAGACAGGTATCTGAGGTTCTCAGTGGGCAGTTAGATGTCAAGATGGCCATTGCAGACACAGTGTGTGTCAGTGTGGATGAGCAACTGTGGGCGCATCTACACATGCACATTTACTGTGCAGTAACCAATATTACTGCACAGTACAGTCGTACATCTACATGTGCATGCCCATACTGCACGGTAAATATGGTGACTTATGCCAACTGGAGTGTGAATTTGATACCTGCATCATGCAGGAATCAAATTTATGCACGATTAATTACTATGTAGTAACACATGTGTAGACACCTTACTGCACAGTAACACTGCGTGTGGACTGACTTGGCAGTAAAATCGGGACTAGATTTAGTCCCAAGTCAGTCCACACGCAGCGTTAATGTGCTTTAATGCCTGCACATATAGAGTGTGTGTAGACGACATAGGAGTTAATGTAGACCACCTGAAAATTTGAATGCAGCTTTTTTTTGGTGCGGTGCATTTTTGTTTGTACGACATGGCATTCGTGTTTGCACGAACGGCGCTTTCGAGTGGGATAAGCCCCCGTGTGTCACTCCCCTCAAAAGTCAGTAGGGGGAGTCAAATACCAATTTGCCCCCTAAAATATCTTTCCTTTTGTATTACAGCAAGAGGGTCATGTGAACCCCCCGGGCTCCCCTAGACACCCGCCTATTCCCACTTACTGAAATTTAAGCTGGCATAAATGCACGTGTAGACACACCCTGTGCATATAAAAAAATAGGCCCTGTGGAGCAATGCATTTTGTAATCCTGAGCAACAGATGCACCTGCCCAGCCTGAAGGCAGTAAGAAGTAGAGAGGAGACCCTACTTCTGTGCATGTGAGCTGCTCCACACACACTGTCTTTTCTCAAAGCCAACTCTACCTTGCACTAGTAGGAACAGGATGATCCAGAGCAGCTTCATATTTGTAGGTCCAGTCCTGAAGTGGAGAAGGCCTTCTTCAAAGAAAGTGATATCGAAACCTGGGAAAGAGAATGAGCCAACTGGTTATGAATTCTCTCCTGATAGAACCAGTGCTGTGGTAGTTTGCCAGCATGATGGGGCTTGTGTCCTCCTAGGCCAGAGGTGGGCAAGTATTTTGGGTGGAAGGCCGCTCATGAGTTTTGGCAAGCCATCGAGGGCTGCATGACAGGCAGCCAGGGGCAGATAAATATTAATTTTCTAAATTTTTTAGGAGCCACGCAGGCCGGATAGAATGGCCTGGCGGGCTGCATTCGGCCCACGGGCCGCATTTTGCCCACCCTTGTCCTAGGCTGAGCTAACTGGGTGGGATGCAAGGATGAGTCATCCAGGGAGAGGCCATCCCTTGAGCTTGGGCTTGGTCGGCTGCTGGAGCTCTTTCCTCAGCAAAGCTCTTTGCCTCGGGTACTTTCCTCAAGTGGCAAAAGTTCCCTTTCTGGCTCCCCTGACTCACTCCAGCACTGTATGTCACAGATGAGGAGAGAAGGGGAGAGCATGTGCCGGCAGTCAAGGAAAGCAGAGCAAATGAGTGGGCCTTGAAAGTGAGGAGCTTAGCTACCCGGGGGGGAAGAGATCTCCCCCAGTGCTAGACAGGGTGCTGGACAAAGTGGAAAGGTGTTTCCCATTCCTTGCACTGCTGATTGAAACAGCCACCTTTCCCCCTACCCCTTCTCTCTCCTCTGGCAGCATCCACCACCCAGCCCGTACAAAAAAGTCCTCAGCAATCATGCTGTCTCTCCCTGTTTGACTCCTGCTTCTGTCCTGGAAGGAGAGGTACGTCTGGTCCGAGGGCTGAGCAGTCTCTGGGGCTTCTTCAGTTCTCAGCCTTTTAGCTGAGACTCTGTTGGTAAGTTCCCCTTATTGGCAAATGGAAGTGACAGTGCCTGAGATAAGGGTACTTATCGACTGAGAACAGGAGCTGAATTTGCATAGGTCACTGAACAGCCTTGAGATGGTAAAAACTTAGTCACAGACCAACTAGGTAGGTTTGAACTACGACCAATCTCTGGGTGAATGACACCCTGTCTCATCACCTATCACTGAGTCACCCTGGCTCCGTATTGGATTAATGATTATATAACAGCATGGAATTGTGCATCCATTTTCCACCCTGATTTTCATTTGCCACAGTTCATATTTTGTCCTCTGACCCCCAAAATTACTCATCACAATTTACTTGCTAAGACATTACATAGACTCCATGTTAACAAGGACCTGCGTGACTATTAAATGAAACAGTTGTGCTCTCAGTTATAGACCTAATGATGCTTTCACTCTTGCCACAGATCATCGATTTTCCTCTCCGTACAATTCAGAGGTCACATTTAATGACCTAGTGCTAAGCATGCCTCTTGTTGCCTCTTGACAGGAAGGCGTGGTATTTGAAATACATGTGCAGGTATGATTTTGTAAGGTCTTACATGTTTGACAATAGCACTGTATTATAGGAAGCAAAGTCAAAACGGCATATAGATCATTCATCATATATGGACGCAGACAGAAGTGCAGTTCCCCGGTCTAACTCAAGCGCCATGAGTTAAACTGCTCCTCCTGGCCCAACAGATGTTAACTGTTGGGTTGTGAGAGTGGGGGACTGAGCTCCAATATGGAGCTGATCCAGGGAGAGAGGCTGTCTCTGCAGCTTCTTCCCCTAGCTCAGCCCCCAGCCCCTGTGTTGTCTCAGGATGGGAGGGGAAAAAGGCAGGGGAGGGAGGTCCGTTCTGGGGTTTGCCCAGCCTGGAGTTGGAGCAGGGAGTGGGGGGATTGAAGCCTCCCACCTTGGGGTGGGGTGGAGGAGGGGGGGGCTCCAATCCACCGGCTCCACCCTCCAGCATCAACTGGGCAAACCCCAAAACGAGCTCCCTTCCCCTACTCCCATTCTGAAAATAATGCTGGGAGCAGGGCTGTGCTGAGACAACCCAGCCTTGCTTCTGGGGCGCGCAGACACAAGTTAATGAAGGTGCTCCACTTTGCAGCACCTTCATCTGAACCCCCATGGAATGAGGGTTCTGATTGTTGTGGGGTCGGGCCCTTTTAAAGTGCTCTGCAGCCAGGCACTTGTGTTAGGTCATGGCTATAGAGTGCTTTTAGGGGCCAGATCAGGTGAAAATTGTCTCTTCTGTCTGTGCCTCTAGAAAAACAATGTTTTGGTGCCTAAGGGTGCTTGTACATGTGATGGTGGAGCCATGTGCACATGGTTTCTGATCACTTAAACCAGTTTGTGTGTAATGTCTGTCCCTAGCCCAGAAGAGAAGACTGGGGGGGATTGAATAGCAGCCTTCAACTACCTGAAGGGGGTTCAAAAGAGGATGGAGCTGGGCTGTTCTCAGTGGTGGCAGATGACAGAACAAGGAGCAATGGGCTCAAGTTGCAGCAAGGGAAGTTTAGGTTAGATATTAGGAAGAATTTTCTCACTATTAGGGTAATAAAACATTTCAGCAGGCTACCCAGAGAGGTTGTGCAATCTCCAACCTTGGCAGTTTTTAAGACTCAGATAGACAAACCTTGGCTGGGATGATGTAGTTGGGGCTGGTCCTGCTTTGAGCAGGGGTTTGGACTAGATGTAATCTCCTGAGGTCCCTTCCAACCCTCATTTTCTACTATAAAGACAAAAAGTACCAAGAAATTGTCATTAGTCTTAAATAATGGTGTCACCATGTACACACGCATGATTTTTTTCGCATAAAAATTTATTTCAGCATAGTAACTTAGACCACCTCTGATATATTTTAGTTTGATTGGGACAAATTGTCCCATTGTGGATAAAAAAAAAATCATGCATGTGTACATGCCTGGCAGCCAGAGAAGGCGGCGGGAATGGTGCACGGGGTGCTGGAAGCCTAGGTGGGCTTGGGGAAGCTCGGGCTTGGCAGGCGTCCAGCACCCCATGCACCATCCCCACCACTTTCTTTGGCTGCCAGCACACCCAGCTGCCATCCTGCCACCTTCCTGCACTGCTCCAGGGGCAAGCCAGCCCGTTCCTGGGCAGTCCCAAGCAGTGGGAAGGTGGTGGGAATGGTGCACGGGGCGCTAGAAGCCCGCCAAGCCTGAGCTTCCCTGAGCATGCCCGGGCTTCCAGCTCCCCGTGTGCTTTGGATCCAGTGGGTGTTGCCTGGGAGCTGGGCAGCACCCATGCACCTAGCACCCAGCCCGGGTGGCCCTGGGGGTGCCACCACCATGGGGGGAAGGACCAGGCCCCCACCGCAGCTCAGGGGCCACTTGGCCCACTAGCAGCTCGCTCCGCTTGCCATATGAGAGGTGAGCTAGCTGTGCTGGGGGGGGAAAAAAGGATCAGGCCCCTTGCCATTTTGGGTTGGGTTTTTTCCAGCACAGCCTGCGTGGCCGTCACTGTGACAGAAGCCCCTAAATTGAAAGGGTGGGTTACAATTAAAAACCCACAAAGTTAAAACCCACCCTTTCAATTTAAGGGAACTAACCCTCTTCACATGTTCAAGCACCCTAACAGTAGCTCTAAGCATCTATCTATATTACACCCAAACATGTTCTGTGAAAATAAGATATCCGGCCCCGAGAGAAGCTGGTATCTAAAATCAAACATGGTATTTCAAGCTGTCTCGTCCAACTGTCTTCAATTACCAAATTTCATGGTTCAAATCATTGCCGTTTTTAGTTCGTAGGAAGGTATGGGACAGCTGGTGACACCTCCCAAGATCATTAATCTCCTCCCTGTTTCCTCCTGCGCCCAGCACTCCCAACAACCAGTAATAGCCCCTCCGGTTGCAGAGCTCTCCCTTGCAACCGTGCGGGAAGCTCCAAGAACAGAAAGTTGGTTTCCAAGTGTTCCTAGCTTTGATTCATTCGGGGCTTGAGTGAAATTTTGGCAGTTGTTTATCACTTTCGGTGAACATTTTTTGTCATAGCATTTTGGGTTGATCCTTTCTACAAAGTTCCTTCCCTCCATTTGGTTTTTCACACTGAAACATGCAACATTTTTATATATTTTGGCCAAAAAAAAAGTCATCTGCATGTACTTTTCCAAATTCTCAAGGTTTGTGCTCAAAAAAATAGGAGCTGTGGGATTTTGAAGGGTTTTTTTTAGTCCAATTGCACCATTTTTATTAAATCACAATAAAATGTAAGAAAACATTAAAATTGTGGCTTTTTACTGGGCATACTTCATACAGCCTCAGCATCCAGTCTAGCAAATCTTCTCCTTCTGCAGAGAGGCAACTTGATTAATACGCATCAATTTTTTTTAAGCGGCTCCGGAAGGCATACATACACCATCCTCAATCTGGATGCAATGACGTTTATATAACCGCGGCTGCAATTTTCTGATCACATTGAGGGAAAGCTGAACTCTTTCCCAGTGGATTTCTTTGTAAAATGGAACATATGGCAAATCAAATGAACTGGCAAGCCAGCCTTGAAGTCTTCACTTAAGGTCTTCTGCTTCCATGTACGATTCATCTAGTTGAGACAAGTCACAGATGCTCAGTCTAACCTTCAAGAAAGGTGATCTCTTACAATATCTGATAACGCATTATTTATGGCAGTCTTGTCTCCTTGCTCTATAGTTATCATACTAAGTGGCAACCGTCAATCCTCCTGGATCATGGTGTATGCATGAGGGCCACCCAGACCTTCAGTGCATATGCCTGGGCAGGAGTTTTTTGGAGGAGTGGGGGCTATCATACTAAGTGTGATAAATTTGATAATACAATTACAATAATCAGGTTTGGATCCCTGTTTGTCTTTGGTCAGCTGGAACCTATTCCTGGTGATGGCCGCATGTTGTTTAATTATGTTAAATTGGATAATATGTCATTCCACATATAGTACCTGGAAACAGCTCGTCTAGACTCCATACCAACTCAAGTACTGGACTGACAGACCGGCAATATCTTGTAAACAGGAGTCACTAATTTATGTCCAAGAAAGTTAAATTGTAGGATGAGTTCAAAGTTTGCAGTATCTTGAGAGCAAAGCTTTAATATTTAAAATATTCTAAAAAAACATTAAAACAATTTTTTTTTTTTACCATTTCTTATCTTTTACCTAGTTAACATTTTGGAAGCAAATCCAAGTTATACTAAACAAGTTTAGTCCTGGTATCTTTGACACTAAAGATTTGTTCATTTGCATTATATATTCCAGGATTCCTATATATCTCGGCTTAAACGTTTGAAGACGTTTTTCCTGTTGTGTTTTCTTCTCGGACAGTAACCGGCGATTCCTCCCTTCCTTAAGACCATCATGTACCTTTGACACACAATCTCAAGGAATCCTCCCACTCTCCCTTGAGAAAACTTAGGACGCTTCCCTTTAGAAACAGTGAAAGGTTCACTCACCAGACATTTGTCGTTCTTCGAGAAGTTAATTACAGTCTCATGTTCAGTCCTGCGTCGCTGTCTGAAGGCTCCTCTCTCTGCAGAGCACAACTCAGCGTTTCCCTTTAGCAAGGCTATCTTTGCTGCAACTTTCTCCAAGTCGTATGCAGTGATTCATTCAGCTCCTTGCAGTCATGTGGGAAGCAATAAACCAACAGGTACGTCTTTGTCCAAGTTCTGTAAAATCACACCCACATTTAGCAGGGCCACTTGCAACACAGGGTGAATGAACTTTTCCCTATGATGAAGCGTAAGAACTATTAGTTTCTTTATTTAAGCTGTTGAAATAATCCATGTCAAAAGGCAAGTACAAATAAAAGTCCATTCTGAAACAGTGCTCTGTGGTTAAAAAAATATATCTGTCATAAATATATACACACACATACTATATATTATTTGCTTGGTTTGGACCTTGTAACATGAAGCTATTATTATTATTATCATTATCATCCTTGTTATTATAGTCCATATCATTGTTATACTTATTATTACAATGATGGCTACAACAATAATAATTATTGTGATAATCATTACTATATTGCTCCTTGCAGCTGAGGATCTCAAAGCATTTTGCGAATGTGAATAATCTCAGGAATTAAGCCCAAAGCACCGATGAGAAGAAATGCAATATTATCATCTCCATGTGTAAGTAAGGTGGATAATTAATACTAAAATATTAATAGACACATTATTAAGAAACCTTGTTTTGAGAGGCGTTAGGGAGCCTACAACTCCCAAGCAAAATGTGGTCCTTTCTGGTCCGCTATTTCTAAATATCAAGTTTGATTATGCCAAGTTATGTTCACATAGTGTGGGTTACGCAAATAAAGAATGGCAACACTTATTCATAAAAGGATAATGTGGTATGTCACAAGAACTGTTTGCTCTACATAACATATTGAAGTCCATCCAGCAATGTATTACAAAAGAAGGGCTAAAGGCAGTATAAACTTGGCAATTATGTAGAGCAGGACCCTTGCAGTAACACTATCAGCAGTAAAAGCCTGCAATGGCATAGTGTCTGAGCAAGGAGTATTTTTGACAACTAGATTTGAGAAAAAGGGATGAATGCCCCAGGAGCCTATTAGCCTTGTTTCTGCTCGTCTCACCTAGGTATCTTAGCCCAAAATTGAACAATGTGCCAAAAGAAAAATATATTCCAAAGCAGCTGTCAGGCTCTTAGCAGCCAAGGCCTCACTTAATAGCATATGATCTGGGGATGCTGGTTGCAGTCTCCATGCATTCCCGTTGTCCTCGGCATTTCCCAGTTTGAATTAAAGCCTCTTACGTTAACGCTCTGCTCTAGAGTGATTAATCTGCTGAGCCCCCCTCTGCAATTCAGAACTATCCCTGCCTGCCCCAATAAAATCTTATCCAAAAGATGCTTGGCCTCCCCAAACAGATATGATTTACTATTAAGCTTCAGGCTGGCAGGCAACAGGATTATAGTTTTTCATTCTGAAACGCATTCTTTGCGGGTATGGAGGGCTCTTCCCTTTGTCCGAGGAGACAGACACAGGGCCAGAAGCTAGGGGATTTGCTGCAACTTATGTATTCTCTCTCCTACGCTTCCTGTAGTATTTTTCCGTCTTTCAAGTCGGATGATTTAATAAGTCCCTGCCATACCAGCCACGGCTTCATCACCATTCTTTGGGCTGCTGTACAGCGTTGCTCTTCCTTGTCACTGTTCATCCAAAATGATGTGTCTATTGGTATATTAGAGTTTCAACAAGCCGTTTCACCAGTTGGAGGACCCAGTCCTGTTGTGCACTCATTTACTCAATTCAACATTGGTGTGAGGAAGTGAGGGGAAATCTTGGCCCAAACACAGTCCAGTCTCCAAGAGAAAGCAGCATGCAGCTAATACCAAGATCTTTCCTTTATGAAGCTGATCATCAACGATGTTTTAACACTACTATACTCCTCAGTGGGTGCCTCAAAGCCAAGGCAGGGTGGGCTTGGCTCTATTTGCCTACATTGCCAAACCAGAGCTCCTAAAATGAGGCATCTTATTTAGGTATCTAAATAGGAGGCTTGATTATTAGAGGCCCTAACCTCCCGCAGATCCCAAGGAGCCTGGAGCCAGAACAATTCCTCCATAATGAAGGTTTGGATAGTGTCTTGCACCAGGGGGGCTTGCAAAAAAAAACGGGTGGAAACTCACCTGCGTGGCACTCAGAAGATTCCTCCTGCGTTTTCAACAGCTCGGCATAACCGCTCCAGTGCCAGCTCGATGCTACAAAAGGGGCTAATGTCTGCTGTTTGGAGGAAGAGTGCCTGGCTGAGGATTTGTTAGGGCTTGGTCCAATGTCTGTAAACATTAAACCAAAGGTTCCCACTAAATATCTGGAGCCCTTATGCCCTGGTAATGCTGTCAGCCCACAGCTTTCCTTGCTCAAGCCAGACTGAATGCTCTCCAGGGTAAAAAGTATGTACACTGCCTTTTTTAGCAACTACCATAGGTGTTCTGCTTGATGTACCCGCTGATGTCACATGCACTGTTCAGCTGAAAATACCTTTTTATGTCTTGGAAATGTTTTTCAATGTCTTTGGTTTGGAAGCAGGGGGACAGCTGGGGCATTGACTGTGTCGTCTCTCTCCTCCCCAAATTTGTCTTCAGCATTTCTAGGAAGAAACTAGACTCTGTCCTTGGCATTTTAGCCTTGCTTATCAGTTCATGTAGCCCTTTTCTAATTCCTTCTGTGTCTTTGACCCCAAGTGCCTAGTTACAGAATAACTAAACATTTTTTTGCCATGCACCAAAGCAGAGTTCAAATCCAGTAGAAAAGCAAAGTCTGTGAGCTTTACATTTAAATAGCAATAAAACCATTGCTTTAGCTCTGCAGTAAAGTTTATATCCAGGTAGGCTTTTAGTTACAATAGATACAGAATATGAACAGTAAGTTGTAATAAAAGATCTATGTGACATGTCACATTATCTATGTGACACACTCACATTACAGTGGTCAGGATATTATTTGGGAGTAAATTTAGTGTTACTGAAGTTCAAACCATGACATCACAGCAAATGAAACACCTGTTATTTTATGAATGAGCCTGGCAAGAATTCAGCCTGCAGTTTCACTATTTCTAGCCTCCTTAAGAATAATTTCGGACAGGACGAAAGGAGTGGAACTGATACAGCTCTGAGGCTTCAATTTGCTATTTTATTATATTTTTTTCTTATACTTTTTTATTATACTACCCTGGCTTCACACTGGCCCCAAGGCAGCCACTGAAAAGTATGGTCTGCCCACCCACTCCCAGTCTTCAGGCTCCAAACCCAGAAATACAGAGAGGAAGACTGTCATGGGGCGATTCCCCTTCCTACTCTTTGAAGATTTATCAGTTTGTATTCGTTTCTAGAATGTATGGAGTAGGAGCAGAAAGGGGGCGAGGGGGTTTCATTTTCAATACACTGCATATATCAGTAGGAAATGCAGCCACGTGGTACTTACTAGCTGACATATTGAGCAGTGAGTGTTAGAAATTATACTGAGTAACATGAGAAAGCTGTAGGGTTGTAATTCTCAACTCTTCAGTGGCGTCCATATCAAATCTAGCCCATCCAGGCTCCTTTCCCTGTTGACTTTCCTGGCCTTCACCCGGCCTCTCAGATTAATGGCATTTATTCATCTGGTCTAGTGGTGCCCAACCTTTTCGCCCCATGGGCCGGATGAGTAGTACCTAGTCTGTCTTTGGGTTAGATCCAGTGCCGTACCTAGACTCCTGGTGGCAAACTTTTAGTATTCACCAGAGATAATGATAATAATAATCGGACAACAGAAAAAAAAATTACCATTTTCGAGCCCCTTTTCTGTCCAGGCAGCTGCCCAGTTTGCCAATGCCTATACCCGGTCCTGGTTAGATCAGGCCCATGGACTCAATCCAGTACGCGGGGCCAGTGTGGTAGGGACCCAATCTGGCATGTGGGGCCCAGCCCTGATCTGGCTACTGGTGGGGGGCACCCCAGGCCCAATCTTATTATGGGGGGAGGGGTCCTGTCCTGGGCCCGATCCAGCTATGTGGGGCTTGGTAATTTGGCAGTGGGAGAGGGATGGCAGTATTAATTGCCACTGCTTTCTCACGGCCAAATTTTCCAACCCATACCCTTGCAGGCTGGGGGTTGAGCACTCTTGATCTGGTCAATTATGTGAGACATTACGCAGCCTCATTCATTTCAGTATAGTAGATGTGGAGACTATGATGGCTAGATTTTATGGGCTCAGTACAGTAATTGAAGACTGATGCTTTTAGGAGCAATAGTTTTTCTAAGTGCCAGTGCTGAAGAGGGGAACAAAAACAACATCTTTTTGTCCCGTTAATAGATTTTTCCTGTCTGAGGGTATGGGGCATAAATGCCATTTTTCGCATGGCGTATGTGCCATTTTTCGCATGGCCTAAGCGTTTTTTCCAACATATGAGATAAGATGTCTGTTGTGGCATTCTTTCTATACCAATTAAAGGACAACATGACAAACAGTTTCCCTCTCTGCTCTCCCTGAAAAGGGTGGAGGCAATGATAAAGCGTTTATCCTATACCAAGTTAGGAGTGACCTATCAAGAAAACTAATACTAGGGCAAAATGGGAGTGGAAGGGGGAGTGAACCTATATGACCCAGTTTAAAATGAAACTAGTAAATTAAATGTTCTGTGATCCCTGCATCTATGGATACTTTGCCCCAAGTGTACTTATAAAGATTCTGTAGTCTACCTTCCAGCTAACTTACATATCTCCACTGGAATATCTCCAGTATTTCCAAATTCTTAGATACTGTGTGGAACAAATCTTTAGTGTCAAAGATACCAGGACACATTAGAGAATTTGCATGCATAGTTTAAAGTAAGCCTAATGGGAGTTACATATATAAACTATCTTTCTCATGGAGAGAAGAATGTTCTTAGTAGAGAGGATAAGATATGTTCATTCTTATGGGAGAAGGCAGCTCATGATGCACTGATCCTGACCTTCTGGTTTTCGGTACAGAACATTCTTTATGTTATGATCGCCATTAAGGCAAAGAATGTCACAGTCACAAACACACCCAGAGAAATTCACTTTTCAAACCCAGCAGCTACTCCCTCTCTAATCTCTTGCTCAGAGCCAGCAGGAAGTCAGTGGCTGCAGTGTCATCACCCTCTTTGACTGAATTTTTTTCCCCTTACTCTGCACATTGCACTATGTTTGAAGGCAGCCACTTTAAATCATGCGGTCAAAGGTTACCGAATTGTGTTCAAGAGAGATAGTTTGTTTTTTTGGTATTGACTCTGAAGACCTAGATAGCGAGCACATATAGATTTGAGCTAAGTTGACCAAGTTGTATGCTAGCTGCAGATTTCCATGAGGATTCATTTTGCAAAGCCCTAGATTAGAATGTGACATTTTGCTATCTTACCAGAGCAGAAACAAGCTAGTAGCAGGTCTACAACATGGCATAAAGCATATATGTAAAAGGTGAAGGTCATACATTTGGAAAGGTAGAACACTGCGATTAAGATACAGGCAGTCCTCGACTTACAATTCTTCGAGTTGCAACGTTTTGCGCACACGTTTATAAACTGTTCAACTTTCTGACATCAGTTTCGACTTTACAGCGCTTGATCCAATGCCATGCCACGCCAGTGAACACGTTCACTGCATTGCCTGTCTCCCTGGAGAACATCTGTCCAGGCTTCCTTGGACGCTTTCTTTAAGAAAGCGGATGAGACTCCAGAAAAACCTGCAGCCAAGACTCCTGAGAAGACTCCAGCCAAGACCCTTCAAAAAGTCCAACCAAGAGCCCTTCAAAAACTCCAGCAAAGTCACCTCAAAGAAGTCCTTCCAAATCAATATGATTTGCTTATTACAATATAAATACAATAATGTAGCTATATTACTCATGTATAATTGATTGAGTACAAAATTCTGGGGTATTTTTGGTGAAAATACAGTATTGGGCCTTGGTACAGGAACCTACCCCCATTTATAACATTGTTTCCGATGGGAAAATCGGTTCCGAGTTGCAACATTTTGACTTAAGACACGGTTTTCAGGAACCAATTGTGGTGTAAGTCCGAAGACTGCCTGTGTAACAACTCAGAGGAGCATCTATAAGATTCGTAAGATGTAAAATATTAGGTCTCCTCACATTATTTCAGTATCCAGAGAGTGGAAATAAGACTACATCTAGCTATAGGACTTCAACAAACTCTTTTCTTTTGACAGCGGTAGCTCTGGTAGTGCTTGTGCCAGCTTCCTACGGTCTAGAGAACTCCTTTTATTTCCCAATTTCATCCCTAAACACATGCTAGTAGGACATAATAACATGTACAGGTATCATTCATAGATTGTGAGGAGCTGGAAGGGACCCTGTACATCACCGGGCGGGACCCTATGTGTTTGCACGTGCATGCATGCACGCACACATTTTGCTGCTCTGCCCCGAGCACACGGACAAGCAGTCGCGTAGGCGAGCGGGTTTGTTCATCCGTGATGTAAATGCCACGCGGTAGCCATCCAAGCTCTTCCGGACACGGGGCAACATTGGCTGAGGCTGAGCGGGGGAGGACAGAGCTGGGGGTCAGACCCTTCTGACCCTAATATCTATGAATCTATTAATATCTATTAATCTATGAATATCTATGACTGTATGAATATCTATGCATCTAACTGAACTGCATGGAGCAGGGGATAAAGCCCCCCGACCCCCGCCAGCTGCTCGCCCTGCAGAGTCAGCACGGCTATCAACCCCTGCCGACGCTCCCTCCTGCACGTGGCGCGTTCCCCTCCATCACACTGCGCATGCGTCAGAGGCAGCCCCGCCCCCCCTCGGCAGAGGGGGACGCTGGCGGGTGCTCTTCTTCGGCACCGACGACTTCGCCGCCGAGTCGCTGAGGGCGCTGGACGCCGCCAGGTGCGGGGGTGAGAGGGTGCCACGGGGGAGGCAGCGGGTTCGTGTCCCCCGCGCTCACCGCTGTCCCCTGCCCGGCCCAGGGAGCCCGACCAGGAGGCGCTGGGGGGCAGCCTGGAGGTCGTGACCCTGCCGTCGTCCTCCACGAGGAGCCTTCCCGTGGAAACCTGCGCGGCGCAGCGCGGGCTGCCGCTCCACCACTGGCCGCGCGTGGGCCCCTGCGGCTGCTTCGACGTCGGGGTGGTGGCGTCGTTCGGGCGCCTCCTCAGCGAGGACCTCATCCGGCAGTTCCCATAGTAAGTCAGAGCATCCTGCTCGGGTCACGAAGCCCGGCGCTTCCCAACAAGCCCCCAGCGCTCAGGTTCCCGGGGGTTTTATCTTGACAGTAGGTTGGAAGAAGGGCTGCCCACGTATCTACAATAGAAATACAATAATGCAGCTATATTATTAATTAATGTAGCTGACCCCTGCACCGATCTTCTTGAAACTTGGCAGGATTTGTGGCCTCAGCGAGAGCTACCAGCCCTGCAGTTTCGACCCCCCTGTGTTGTGACACATAGACATGACAGGAGTCTTGCTTTCAAGAATTTGGGATGCAGTTCCCCCCAAACCCTTGCACCGATCTTCTTGAAACTTGGCAGGTTTTATGCTCTCAGCAGAGGCTACCATCCCTGCAAGCTTCATCCAAATCGGACAGAAACCAAAGTTTTATAGGTATTTCATTGATTCCCCCGTGATACCCTATGGCCGGATCTCCGAGGTGGCTCCGCAGCTTCGAAGCCACTTGAGCTGGATTGAGGCGGAAACCCGGTCTGGAGATCCGGATTGGCTAGCTGCCATCCGAAGCGGCCGGATTCAAAGCCGGATCGGATCGCTGCCGACTCGCGCAGGCCTACTGGCGAGTCCCCAGCAAGTCTTTCGGCTTTCGAGGAACATTTACTGGTTCTGCCAGGAGGTGCCTGCCCGAGAGGGTGATTATGTTGCGCGCGGTCAGCAGCAAATGTTTTGAAACATAGTGTTTGCAAAAGCTTTCAAATGCATACAGTAACTATAGGGAGGACAGTATAGGCAGTCCTCAGACTTACGACGCAGTTGATTCCTGACAACTGCGGCTTAAGTCGAAATGTTGTAGCTCAGAACCGATTTTCCCATAGGAACAATGTTATAAATGGGGGGTTGGTTCCTGAACCAAAGCCCAATACCCTATTTTCATCAAAAATACCCCAGAATTTTGTACTCAATCAATTATAGATGAGTAATATAACTACATTAATGTATTTATATTGTAAATAGCAATCATTGATTTGGAAGGACTTCTTTGAGGTGACTTTGCTGGATGTTTTGAAGGGCTCTTGTTTGGACTTTTTGAAGGGCTCTTGGCTGGAGTCTTCTCAGGAGTCTCGGCTGCAGGTTTTTCTGGCGTCCCGTCTGCTTTCTTAAAGAAAGCGTCCCAGGAAATTTGGACAGATGTTCTCCAGGGAGATGGGCGACGCAGCGAACTTGTTCGCTGGCGTGGCGTGGCGTGGCATTGAAACTGATGTCAAAGTTGAAACAGGGTGTCAATTTATAAATGTTGCAAGTGTGAAACGTTGTAACTTGAAACACTGTAAGTCAGGACTGCCTGTAGTGTATTTTTTTAGCTTTCTTTATTAGGGTTAGCATTTTAAATACGACATTGTAAAGAATGAGCTCTTCAGAAGCACTAAAATCCTGAAACGCCCTCTTTTTTTCTTTAAAAAAAAAAAAAAAAGCTGTTATCATAAATGCATATTCAAGCATATTAAAGAATTACTGGTTCTGTTCTAATTACAAATATTCTGATTCAGTGGCGTGTTGAATGTGCATCCCAGCTGTCTCCCACGGTGGCGTGGCCCTGCTCCAGTAATCCACACAGTGCTTCATGGTGATACAGTAACTGGAGTGACAATTATGCAGATTAGACCCAAAAGGTACACTAAATATCGGGGGGGGGGGGGGGGTGTTGTTGTTTTTTTAAATCAATCCATTCTCATGCTGTTGCATCTCAGAAATCTTAGATTTTTAGGGTTGGAAGGGACTGCAGCAGATCGAGTCCAACGCCCTGCCCCAGGA